TGTCATTTTCTAATTGTTATAACTGTTTCATTACACCTAAGTTGGGGAGCAAAAGAGAATATACCTGATTTTATCATATGTTTAATTTTCAGCAGTAAATATCTTTAGTTAGGAATGTTATATAGTACTTTTGTGTAGTCAGCACTAACAGAATACTTCTAAATGGTTAGAATTTCGTAAAACTATTACCTGATATAATTTTTTTACACTATTGGTGGTATCTTAGACATTCTGTTTTTACACTATTGGTGGTATCTTAGACATTCTGTTAATGCAAAAGACAACGTGGATTTATTGTAGTATGTCATGTATTTATGTTTCAAGTCACAGTTATGGTAAGGACTTTTAAATGGTATGATATGTATGAAATATTACTAACTTCTGATTTAAGTTTTCGCTTTGTGTCGAGGCATAGCAGAGCGTTATCCATGCCCCCAGCGATGCTTCAAAGTACACACACGGGGACGCGCACACAAGCACACACACGCAAACGCGCGCGCACACACACATATGCACACAATAACATGAAATTAAATTCCTCAATGTGGCCCCACCCCACCCCACCCTTGATACTGGAAGTTAAACGTATGAACCGTCTTTCCCTTGAACAAATCATTGATCCACCTATGTGACACCTATGTGACACATATGTGCCAATGTAGTCACCTGATGGTGTGTACTGCCTGTGGTACAATGATCGGGGAACTTGATCCTTGGCGAATCCATTACGAGAACATTAAAGAACATTAAGCTTAACATGCGAATCGTCCTCGTATCGTACCGATAGTCTTCATCTATGTATCGATATTACTGTAGTGATGGCTTGTAGCTAACGGGTTGTCTCGTCAGATCTATTCATCACATTGGTATCATGGACCCTAAATATGGCATGAACCGTCCTTACAATGGAACAGTGTAAGATCAATGTTTGGTGCTCCATATATGGCTGGAATATTCATGAGTTTCGTGAAACTCCACAAGCGTGATGTCTATCACCTGGCAGGGTAACACACTACAATGTGCTGACCTAGATATCCACCATGATATTACATAACGGCACGCACCCCAGACTAAACTCTCCTACCTGTAGGACGTGAACACTAGAACCCAGAATCCCAGCTGGGATTGCAATTGGTACAGTTTATTTGAACAAGCCTCCAAATTAGAAGTGTATAAAGTGTCATGGCGTAGGATAGCGAGCGGTGATTAATCGTTGATATCTGGCACCAAACATATGTCGAAATGTTTACTCCCACCCACCCATCTGTCTGTCTGGTGTGACGTCACCGTGTCCATCTGTCATTCACCCAGTACACAGCCATGGGAATCTGGCCAACACTGTCGGCAGAGAATCCGTGGTACAGCCGTCGCCATATAACGCTCACAGACTGTATGGTCTGAGGTCCACCTCCGCCACTCACAGACTGTAGGGTCTGGGGTCCACCTCCACCGCTTTACACACAGTACAGGTCTGTGTTCCAGCCTACCCCGACCTACACACATTACAGGTCTGAGGTCCACCTCCTCCACCCACAGACTGTAGGGTCTGGGTCCACCTCCACCACTCACAGACTGTAGGGTCTGGGGTCCACCTCCACCACTCACAGACTGTAGGGTCTGGGGTCCACCTCCACCACTCACAGACTGTAGGGTCTGGGGTCCACCTCCACCACTCACAGACTGTAGGGTCTGGGGTCCACCTCCACCACTCACAGACTGTAGGGTCTGGGGTCCACCTCCACCACTCACAGACTGTAGGGTCTGGGGTCCACCTCCACCACTCACAGACTGTAGGGTCTGGGGACTCCACCACTCACAGACTGGGGGTCTGGGGTCCACCTCCCACCACTCACAGACTGTAGGGTCTGGGGTCCACCACCACTCACAGACTGTAGGGTCTGGGGTCCACCACTACCACTCACAGACTGTAGGGTCTGAGGGTCCACCTCCACCACTCACAGACTGTAGGGTCTGGGGTCCACCTCCACCACTCACAGACTGTAGGGTCTGGGGTCCACCTCCACCACTCACAGACTGTAGGGGTCTGGGGGTCCACCATCCCACCACTCACAGACTGTAGGGTCTGGAGGTCCCACCTCCACCACTCACAGACTGTAGGGTCCCACCTCCACCACTCACAGACTGTAGGGTCTGGAGTCCACCTCCACCACTCACAGACTGTAGGGTCTGGGGTCCACCTCCACCACTACACAGACTGTAGGGTCTACATTAGGAACCGGGAACCGGGATTTCCTGCGAAAATACGCCCATGGGCTTAAAAACGGGAAATCCCGGTATGTTGAAAGGGAACTTTTACAGCTACAGGATACCATGACAATTTAAGACGTCTGCCTTATTGTATGTATCATAATTGCCTGGAGAGTCAGTTTGGTGTAATGCTACCGACCAGTTTCTCGGTTATGTCACAGTGTGTCGGATTAATGTGGGACTAAACCCGAAGTGACGGAGGTCTGAGACGTTTACAGTTTGGGTAAAACCAAGGAGCACGGGATGGTACTGATACACCTAGAAACGAATTAGGGATTCAAACTCTCCATCATAGGTGTCTGTCACGCCCTAAGGACTCAATACTGTTATCATTTTGTTAAATTTGTAACGCCGCACTCAGCAATATTCCAGCTGTGTCGGCGGTGTATAAATAATCGAGCCTGGACCAGACAATCCAGTGATCAACATCATGAGCATCGATTAACGCAATTGGGATACGGTGACATGTGTCAAACAAATAAGCGAGCCTGACCTCCCGAACTGGTTAGTCGCCTCTTACGACAAGCATGGGTTGTTAAAGACCAGTTCTAACCCGGATCTTCACGGGTAAATGCTGTTATGAAATTGGATATACAACAGGTGGTAGGTGTCTCTTTCCTGTGTTTCCCCGGTTTTTCACTTTGACCTTAAACTCCCCAGTTGATCTAGATTTTCAGCATCACTTCTAAAATCAATTTTTTTATTCATGGTCCAAGCAATGGCGTATCTTGCATTTGCTAAGATATGTCCAGTTATTAGCTGCCCTGTAGATAATCTTGATCATACCACAGATATGACCAGTGTCCCATCACCGCCTGTCAAAGATCTCTACGATTGCAAGCTGGGCCTGTACATGCAAGATTGGCGTTCCCGTTACGTCATAAGCAGCTGCTTCAAAAACATTTTTGACCGTTAGAGTGAGTGAGTTTAGTTTTATGCCGCATTTAGCAATATTCCAGCAATATCACGGCGAGGGACTTTGATGGGCTTCACACATTGTACCCATGTGGTGAATCGAACCCGGGTCTTTGGCATGACGAGCGAACGCTTCAACCACTAGGCTACCCCCTTTGACCGCCCCATGACTACTATAGAACATCCTTGGGCGTTGAATACAGATAGTGGAGCAGCTTGTGCAGAATATGCTTGATTAAGAGTTTATGGCCACAATGACTGGTCTTGACCAAACAAACCAGAGGGACAGTGTCACATCATTGGAACCCTGGAATACTCAACTTGATCTGCTGTAATGACTGGAGTGACTGTGATCCAAACTGACCCTAAATTCCCACCGATCCAGTCTTGTACATAGTGTTGACTAGAGCTGTGTATCGTGGCCTAAGTGGCGAGACGATATATCCCGATACTAGTTTAATGAGGCGAGACGATATATCATGAAAGTATTGGCAAGGAACCTGCGAGACGATTATCATCACGATACAGTGATGGCGATACGATACTTATCCCGATACTTTACAATCCTAAAAACAGGACATATATGATAGATAAAATGACTGAATCTTTATTTGTTATTCAGCAGAACATGTGTTACATTCACACACACTTAAAAGACTGTTCATGTAATAATGTTTCAGCATTTAATGCTTAAGAAAGTACAATCAAACATATTCAGTATACCTTGCACTAGGTTTCCCTTGGAAAGTTGTGTTTCTGCACCAATGCTTGCACAGGCAATTTATACAGTAATTTATACCAGAATCACTGCAAAAAACTCATAAGTATGCTTTCTAAATTTTATCTTCTCTTTCTTAACAAAGCTAAGACATCGTTGATAGTTGTTAATAAATGGTGTTATTTGTCAAACAACTAAAACATGTTTCAATTACTTAAAGACAAGTCTTTACAGTTCACAGAGATTGTTCACTGATACACTAACTCCTTTGTTCATGTAACAAAGATGGCAGACACAAATAAATTCCTTTTAGGTTCAGTTTGTTTTTTAAAATTCCTAAAAATTTCAAAGAGACTCCCTTCCTATTACTTATGCAATACTCCCTACAACTTTAAGTAATATTTAAGTAGTACCGGGATATATCGTCTCTTGTGGCGATGCATCGATGTATCATGGACCGTCGCGATATAAATATCCTGATATATTGCCTAAACGTGTTTTGTATCGATGCACTCGTATCGCGTAGTTGACGATGCAAACATCGATACTATCGATGAATCGTTACACCACTAGTGTTGACATAAAGTCAAAGTGATTCATAAACATACAGTGTTCTGTTTGTAGCATTTGTCTTTGATTCAGGGCGTACATGGCCTATGATCATATAATTTAACCCTGCATTGTTATAAGATTATGCATTTGAACCAGTGTCTGTTTGGGAATCAGACATTTTCCCCTTTTCATCCTGATGTGAGGAGCCGATTCAAATGAAGATTCTCCAGTCCTGAGGAGTCTATGGTATAAGGAGTCTAAAACATTGTCACATCTACAAACCAAGACCTTTGTCATAATTTCTGTTTCAAGTCAATTCCTTTGTTTAAGTTCAGGTCTAGCAAGCATAGACCGGAAGCAGGTCCAATTATTCCTACAGTTCATACCCTGAAATACAGGTCTGAATGATATCTGTGGGCTAAAGCAAACAAACACATACTGGCTCTCAGGATAGAACTGATGCAGAATTCTAGCCAATATGACAATCTACATAATTAACATTGGGAGCTCTAAAAGGTGTATTAAATCATTGATAACAGAAGAATGGTTAAAAACTAATATGATTTATTGACAGGAACAAGTGGGAGATACACTTCAGTCATTCATCATGTTCACACAATGTACACATGCTCATCCACAGCATAGCCCATCACATACCAGCAAGGACAACAAAATGTCTCGAAAAATAAATAACATCTGGAACTGCTTTCCTGCAGCAAGTTAGAATGAGTCAGATAGATATGGGATGAGTGACTTCCACTGGCAGGTCTCCTGGATTGCTGGATATTGTATATTAGGATTGAACTCAATAATGAGACATCGAGAAAGCTCATGTGTTTTCTCCTATAGTTTGCATGTTGAAAAAGCCAACATTATCAGTAACATTCATTCTATATTCCAGTTGCATCTCTCAAATAGGGTATATGCATGTTGATATACAATTTTTAGACCATTGAAAGAAAACAACCCAATGATAATTGGTATTATCATAAGAAGGGCAGATCTCTGGGAAATGTTTCTGCAATATTTTGCGAGCCTAGAGAATGGTAAATATGATGAAAAGATTGTTTTGTTGGTTTTAGGAAATAACCAAAATCTTTAACATAACAAAGAAGGCATTGACATGAATATGAATGTGTTACCTAAAATAATGAGCACTTTATCATGTCTGTCTTTTTGCAGGAATAAAAAATACCCTTCACATTCCCCCCAAAACATCTCGGGGGGAAGATGCACATCAAAACACGAGCTTCTTAGCAAGTCCAGCTGAAAAAAAAGATGAACGATATCAGCACATACATCGTAACATGTTTGATACAGTAAATAATAAACAAATTAAGTCTATCAGCATGATTTGATATGCACAATCAAAAGATCCACAATTACATTTCTCTAATGTAACTCCTCTACATGTGGCATGAGTTTAGTGAATGAGTTTAGTTTTACGCCACACACAGCAATATTTCAGCTATATGGTGGCGGTCTGTAAATAACTGAGTCTGGACAAGACAATTCAGTCATCAACAGCATGAGCATTGAGCTACACAACTGGAATACAATGACATGTGTCACCCAAGTCAATGAGCCTGACTGCCCAATCCCGTTAGTCGCCTCTTACGACAAGCATGGGTTACTGAAGATCAATTCTAACCCGGATCTTCACGGGTAAAACTAAGTACACGTACTAAGTATTGCAAATTTCTCTGTAACTTATACATACTTAACTGCCAAAAACACAATAAACTCGAAAGTGGCTTTCAAATGTATAACTTTATATATTATATAAATATTAAACAGATCATAATAAGTTTTTAAATGGGCACAAGTCATTGTCATATTCCATGACCATAATTTTTTCTTGAGGTAAATCCATAATTTAACAAAAATACTCATTCAGTTTTAGCCAAGAACAAACAGCTGGCACTTGGTATTATGTTTTTGAGTACATGCAATGCCACATGATTACTTAAAACAAACAAAAAGCTTGTGGATGAAATTGTAAAAAAAATCTATACTAGTCAGCCACTAGCAATCTATTTTCTTACTGGACTCCCCTGTGTTACTGAACCACTTCCAATCTATTTACTGGACTCCCCTGTGTTACTGAACCACTTCCCATCTACTTACTGGACTCCCCTGTTACTGAACCACTTCCCATCTATTTACTGGACTCCCCTGTGCTACTGAACCACTTCCCATCAACTGATGGGACTCCCCTGTGCTACTGAACCACTTCCCATGATCTACTTACTGGATTCCCCTGTGCTACTGAACCACTTCCCATGATCTACTTACTGGACTCCCCTGTGTTACTGAACCACTTCCCATGATCTACTTACTGGACTCCCCCTGCTGCTGCTTCCTCTTGATGCCTGCTCTCAGTATCTCCTGCTCTTGGTTCACAATCTTGTTGGAGCCGGGACGAGGGAGTTTGGAACCAGCAGCTGGGGCAGGCTTGTTACTGAAGTAGGGCATTTTCAAAGCCTGAAATCATGATAATAAGAAGACAAAGTCATCAATATCCCCTGCAATGACAAAATATTCTTCATGAATATGTCAACTAGTTATGACTATGTCAAATGTTTTGGCGTGTATATAGCAAAGTGGAAGGAGAGTATTCAGGAGGTTTTCAAGTTCTGCTCCAGAAAGGAGCACTACCACCAATTTCAGTAGAAGTCAAACTTGTTGCCATGGAAATGAAAAATATTTTATTCAGAAATCCAAAACTACCAAAAGGCACCAGTTCACCAGCAGACCAATCTATGTGCCAAGTCTGGTGAAGAAATATTAAACAGTCTTTAAGTTCTGCTCAGGAAAAAGATGAATGCGCATGGACGGACAGAAGGACAGAAGGACAGACGGACAGAGTCCAAATAATACCCCCAGCAAAACGTGTTGCGGGGGATAAAAATTGTGAGTAAGCTGAGTGTAAACATTTACTTCATGGGATTCTGTAATAATAACAGTTGGTGGTATAATCAGTAGGGCCCATGATGCAGTTGTTACCAACATTCAAAGATGATGAAACAGTCAAGTGTTCCCCAGCCTGCCTGTCCATGACACTATCACACTTTACCTCAGTTGCTGAGCAGCGTTTGAGAGGGTCCATGGCCAGCATCTTGTCCATCACCTCCAGGAGGTCATCACCAGCAGCTATGAAGATGTCTTTCAGTGGTTGTCGTGGATACTGCTTGAACTTGATGAAGTCGGGGAGATGCTGCATGTCCTGCAAAATGAGTGGGACTTGGAGATAAGATTCTTCCTAGTCATCATATCATCCGGTTGATTCATTCAAAATGCACCTGCATTGCTACACAAATGATGGTGAATATCTCTAATATTCTTAAGTGGATTTGATACCCCTCTTCCAGTCATGTTGCTATGGTTTTCTTTTTTTAAATTGTTGGTGTATTGGCCAAAACACGTACACTTTTACTCTGTATATAAAGTTAACAAAACACAAACCTTACTCATCTTTAATTTTACAGTTACTTCATCATTTACAAGGTTATTTTGACCAAATCACTGTTCTTACACCTGATCAATGGACAATGGGGGCACAAACATATATTTTCAAGTATGAACTCGAAAAGATTGGAGTATAAAACATATATATCCACACTTTCCCCTACACCTTGGAAAGTGTGGATACATCTCTCACTTAAAATGAAACCTCAAATTTATGTTATTTACTGTATATAACTTCATATAAGAGCCCTGATTATGTTGTTTATGTTTGTCAACTCAAAACCCAAGCTTTGTTGGGTCACCAACGTGGTACAAATCTGAGGCCTACATATCTCTGGTATTTCCTCCCACAGAGAACGTCTCTAACTACTAAGGGAGACAACTGGTAGCATTACCGGCCAGTCCTCCTCCCCTGGTGTGCCAAGCACCTGAAAGATTCGGCTGAGTTGATCCAGGTCAGAATCTCCAGGTAGGAATGGGGCCTACAATGATAAGTGAATTAAAGAGAATGAAAATAATACAAAATACTTTATATAATTTACAAATGCCGAAACGTCATTTCTAGAGTAAACAAGTTGATCTGGGAAAGTTACAATGTTAACTGTTTACTATGTTGACACAACCACAAACACATACCCGAATTAACAACTCTGCAAGTATACATCCTACAGCCCATATGTCAACACCTGTGCTGTAGAATCTTGCTCCAAACAGTAACTCTGGACACCGATACCACCTAAAAGACAAACGAAGCTGGTTGTCAGAATTGATGATCAGATGTCTTAATGAAATGATATGGAGTACAGGTTACATCTTCAGCATGTTTAAAGATATATAATAACTACATTAAAACTTTCATTTCTCATTACTAACTACTAATAATAGGTGAATGTACTTCGTTCACAAGCGAAATAGAGAATACCTGGATTTGGGGGGGATTTCACAAAAACTCACCTTGTTACAACCTGATGAGAATATGGACGACTTGGTGATCCAAAGAATTTTGCCAGGCCAAAATCACCAATCTTTAACACTCCATGTTCATTAATGAGTAAATTGTTTGGTTTCATATCCTGGAAAAACAGAAACATGTAATTTTCTGAATAAAATTGATATTTTATACTTATCCTGACTCATGCTCTTTTGCTTGTCTTCTTCTTCTTGCGAACACAGTGGAACACTTGTATCTCCCAATTGAAGCTCCCTTCAATGTAAAATCACTAATTAGTACTCACCAAGAGTTGTCTCTTTCCCAATCATTTGCGCGGGAACGAGGGCGCCACCTTCCGCCACCTGCCTCACTCTCTCCTTATATAGCGAGCCCAACACTTGAATTTTCAGGGAAATCCAAAGTGTTATGTGGGGAGGATGGGAGGGCTTACCTCATGAGTCAGGATAAGTATAAAATATCAATTTTATTCAGAAAATTACAGATTTTTCCTTATCCTGACTCATTCTCTTTTGCTTGTAGAATCCGACGGAAACGGAGGTGGGAATACAGAATACTTTGGATTTAGATAATTAGTGATTTGATAACTGTAATAACTGTAATAACCCTTATGGGAACTTCATAGAGGCACTGAATTGATAATTCCTGCTGTTAAGCTTATCAGCTGCCATATATGGGTTACTACAATATATAGATATCATGATAAACATAAATAAACTACTCCTAATGGAGAAGTTAACTAAAGTATTTACAACATAAATACTAGGCTTAAGACTAAAATAGACTTAAGCTTGATAATATACTAGCATAAACTTCATCGAGTTGTTAGCTATATAGTACTGTTGTGAAATAAGCAGTAAAAATCTCGTAAGATTGACTTATCTTCTCCGAGGGACTGTCAACTGCTGTGCGAGGACCATGGGACCGAAACGGTGAATACCTGAGACGTCCTCGGTGGTGATATCTCTCAGATAGTGGTTGGCAAACACCATATCCGATCTCCAGAAGCAGCCCTCCATGATGGTATTCAAAGAGCAATTGCCGTGTAGAGCAAGTGTTGAAGCTAGCGCTCTAATTTCATGTGGATTAGATGCTCTTGGAGGGTCGAGTCCTGCAGCCTTGTAGGCGCGTAGTATGACAGTTCTGATCCATATCGAGATACTTTTACGTGAGACTTCGGTCTGTGTAGCTGTCGATAGAGGGGTGAATAATCGTTTGAGATTTTGAGCCGTAGATATATTTTCAGTGCTCTGACTGGGCATAATGATAGATCCAATGTAACATGAGGTCCGAGAATTGACGAGAGAGCTGGGACGTGGAATAATCTGTCTGGTTGACCTGGCAACTGGTTCTTAGCGATGAAATCCCAGCGTAGTCACATATGAACGATGTTATGATTGTCATCAAAGCGTGTTCTCTCGTAATCTAGTGCGTGAATCTCTGACATCCTGGCTGCTGTTGCTAGGGATAACAGGAACAAAGTTTTCTGTGTCAGAAATTCGAATGATGTTGATACCAGTGGTTTATATGCCTCACTTGTGAGGTGTTTGAGCACTATATTTAGATCCCATGCTGGAGCGCGAAACCTCTGTTTCTGATCCTCCAATCGGAATGCACGTAGTAAGGCGAGTAACTCTGGGGTCTTCGTCAACTTGACACCCGTTCTAAAAGTTATGACGGAGCTTAAAGCTGCGAGATATGTTGATAATGTTGAGCCTTTTAGATGTTTAGTCTGTCGTAGGTAACATAAATAGTCAGCCACTTGTGGATGTGTAGCATTTCTAGCTGTAAATCCTTTCTTTGCAGCATAATTTTCAAAACTGTGCCACTTGTCATCGTACAAGTTGCGAGTGGAGTTAAGTAATGCAAAGCGTGACTGCTGCTTTCGCCGCTCTGGCTGAATAACCTCTCTTGTTTAGACACCTTAATACAGTCCATACGTGAAGTTGGAATGCTTCTGGCATTCCGTGAGCTTGTTTGGTGTGAGGATGTATTAGTAGATTCGAGCGCTTTGGAAGTTGTAGTATTGGTTGTCCGATTTCTTGAATAAGAGTTGGAAACCACGTTATGGCTGGCCAGTAGGGCGCGAACAAAATCATTTGGAGGCTCCGAGTTTGCTTGATTTTCTGTAACACCTGTGGGATTAACGCTGGTGGCGGGAACGCGTACATGTTGAGTCCTTCCCACGATATGCTTAGTGCGTCCGTTGCCCCTGCTAGTGGGTCTGGGACTGGTGATATGAATGTTGTCAGCTGATTGTTGAAGCGAGTGGCAAATAGGTCTATTAGTGGAGCTCCTATTTTCTTGATAATTTGTGCGAATATCTCTGTATGGAGCATCCATTCTGTCGGCGATGGTAGGTGTGGCTGAGAGAGAGCGTCTGCTATTACATTCTTTGCTCCTGGAATGTGACATGCTCTGACATGTATGTTGAGATTGTCGATTAGATCAAACAATTGAAAACATAGAGTCAATAGGTTCGGGGACCTGGTTGAGCCTTGTTTGTTCACATAAAACGCCACTGTTGAATTGTCTGTGTGAATCATTAAATGGGCATTCTTTAGTAAGTTGCTCCAATGATGTATGGCGTTTACTACTGCTTGCATTTCTAGCAAGTTTATGTGTAGTTTGCTCTCTTGTTGGCTCCATAACCCTGATGCCGTCCTGTTGGCGAGGTGTGCTCCCCAACCTTGGAGCAACGCGTCTACATAGAGATGTGTTTTCAATTCCGGCTCTTTTAAACAGATTCCATCGCAAACATTCGATCTCTTGGTCCACCATAGTAGGTGAGGTTTGACGTGATTCGGTAGACTGAATGGTTGAGGGTCGTCGAGATAAGAGTTGATGAGGACCTGTAACGGACGTAAGTGTAGTCTGCCTCTGACTGTCATGTCTTGAGCTGACATGAGTAGACCCAACAGGCTCTGCCATTGTCGTAGTGGTAGCGGAGAGAGTAAGGCTTGAGGGATTGTCTGTTGGAACTTGATCCATCGGTCCTCCGGTGCGACGACGATCACGATTCTCGCCCGTGAGAAATCGAATGCCTAGAAATTGCAGATCTTGCGTAGGTTCTAGGTCCGACTTGAGTAGATTTACTAACCATCCTAGCTGTGTTAGTAGCTTGATGATGAAGTTTAACTGTAGTCTGAGAAGCTGTGGATCTGGATCCACTTGTATCCCGTCGACGAGATAGAACGCACTGCGTAGTCCTTGACGATGTAGGTACGAGACGATAGGTTTCGTTACTCTTGTGAATAGCCATGGGGCCGATGAGATTCGGAAAGGTAGTACTTTCCATTGGTAATGTAGCCCATCTAGTGTAAACCGAAGGTATTTCCTGGAGTCGGGATGTATTGGGATGTGTAGATATGCGTCTTGCAGATCTATGCTGGCCATATAGTCATGCGAAACGCTGGCGGTTTGCGTAGATAGTCTCTGTTGAACGTGCTCATATTGTAGATGAGACGAAACTTTTCCTATTTCTTGGGCACTAGGAAAACTGGGGAGTAGAAGCCTGGTTCGATGTTTACTTGGTCCAGTACTTCTATGGCCTGCTTGGTTAGGAGCGTTGATACTGCTTCTCTTAACTTTGGTAGTTGTCGAGCCTGGAAGTCGAACCTCGGAGGGATGACTGTCAGCGGGGCCGGGGCGTGTAGTTGTATTCGATATCGGTGCTGTAGGATGTTGGAGACATATGGATCCTCTAGGAATCCCCAGTTTTCCCAGTGCAGTTGGAGGCGTTCACCCACTTGTGATGGTTGTACTGGAACGGCTGGGGGTGGAAGACTCCAGTCGTTCGAACCTGTCCTTCATCGTTTATAGTTCTGGGGAGCCTCTGGATGACCTGCCTCTTCGGATCCTCCCCTGTAATTGCCGTAAGGGCGGGGAAAAGACTCTTTGCTCCTCTTACACTTGCCATCTTCCTGTCCCGTGCTTTCTGTAGACCGGAGAACTTGATTTGCCTGAGTACCTCTCGCGAAGTTTGTCTGATGGCGCTTGCTAAGCGTATCCACAGACTTTATCATGAGTACCTCTCTTGAGTCTTTAGAGACTTCTTTAGAGACTTTGTCTATGTTTCCATCGAAGATTGACGGTGATGACCACGGGGCTGTGTGGAGTGATGCGGTGAAGTTATCACCCCAATTACAGGAGGCGAGGAGACCTTGACGACGAGCCATAGTTATAGCTGCGGATTGTGCTGTCAAGTGATCCGTTAGGAACTGCTGGTCTTTCTTCTGCATGAGGAGGGCCGAGTAAATCATCCTGTCGTCCTCAGATGTAGAGTCTCTGAACTTCGTGAGGAGAGTTTCGTTGACTGTTCTTGACCTGTTCAGACCAAAGAACATCATTCTTGCTATGGTTTCCATCTGGACTAGCTTGCGGTCATCTATTCTGTACGTCTTGGACTTGGCATCGCTGATCATCTTAAAGTTATCATCGATATCTTGTGCCTTGTAAAAAGGGTCCATGTTGTGACCTGCAAACTGGTTAGCGTTGAAATGCGGCACATGTGGTGTCTGTGACTTGGTGGCTTTACTAAAGGCTGTATCCAGATTAGCTGGCACCGCTGCTATCGGGTCAATCGGAGGTAAGGTGATTGTGTCAGCATCATCTTCCTTCATAAGATATGTGTGGGCTGAGTTCTCGTTCTTAGACGGGGAGGAAAGTTCCAGACTATTCACCATCCAATATCATATTTCTGCGTCGGAAAATACGATACCATCTTCATCTTCAGACATCGGGTCACAGATAATGTGTTCGATGAGGAGATCGGCGAGCAGAATAACGTGGTGAACGGACTGACGAGTGGCGTCTATTAGGTGACCTTCGTAGAGACTTGCTTGACGAACGCTGGTAGCTACGCGAAGCTCTCGGTGAATCCCTTAATGATCTTCTAGATGAGGATGACTTGGAGCCACTTAACCTTCGTGAAGGTTGAGAGTCTGAGTCGGAGTCATGGGATGAGAGGATCTTGCTTCGCGAACGTCCTCTCTCATCAAGGTCCGAGGTAGGTGATATAGTCGTCCTCCGTGAAGCCTTCCGTGAATGCTGAGGATCAGGGTCCTTCGTGGAGGCGGGCTGGGTGCCTTAGCGGCGGAGGCTTAGAAGCGGGCTGGGTAAGCGCCCTTGGTGGAGGCGCCAAAGCGGGCTGGGGTAAGCCCTCACGCGAGGAGGCGATGCAAGCGGGCTGGGTCGCCCTACACAGAGGTATGGGGGTGGGCTGGGTCGCCCTTGGCTCTATAGGCCTCCGTAGACCGTAGCGATCTTCCATCAACTTCATAATGTGGTTCATCAGGTCGTCTGGGACGGTCTGCGCTGGAGTAGTTGCTGCCTTCTCTATGATGGTAGCGACTGGACCCTCAGGTAGATTCTCTGACATCAGTGTAGGTGCCTCAGACTGCGTGCTGATCTGCGCTGATGTTATAGTTGCCGACATTGGCCGCTTCTTCCGCCGCTTCATCATCATACAGGCCCAACTCTGCAACGGGAACAATCTCGGCTGAGAAAGTACTGTTGGACTTCGTTGAATTCCCCTTAGACGTGGAAGTAGCCCTGGGGGTGCGGAGTCTGTGTTGTGACGACGTGGAAGCCCTCCTAGTCTTTGGCTGCGACAACGGGATGTCCGGGGATGCAGGTCGCTTCTTGGAGCTAGCGGACTGCGTCCCTCGCCTCTCCTCCGAGGGTAACTCTAGCGGAACACCAGACGGGAGGGGGTCGTCCGACAGTAGTTGACAGGGTAAGGGCTCTGGTGTATTAGCCATGGCTAAAATCTGTTTACTGAGACCTATCTGCTGCACGTCTCAAGGCGCCAAAATAAATATTTATCAAAGGCAGACTTGGATAAATTAATACAATAATTGCAACGTGAAACAGTAGAGCATGGCGTAGTACAACTAGGGCATATTAAATTCGGGTCAGCAGCAGAAAAACGTAATTTACAAATGGTGCAGATTTTCATCAACGCCAATCTATCTGAACAAACCGCGAGTCCGTGAATAAAACAGTAGAAACATGAATAAATATCAATGCATTATGTTGAAGGATACTAGCTACACCTCTATGGAAGCCTATGAGAGGTAAATAACTAAGAATAAACAAAGGATATAATGTGTAGGGAGACACAGGCGCTCTCACATCCTGCTCACTGGGCGAAGAAGGAGAGAGTGAGGCATGTGGCGCCCTCGTTCCCGCGCAAATGATTGGGAAAGAGACAACTCTTGGTGAGTACTAATTAGTGATTTTACATTGAAGGGAGCTTCAATTGGGAGATACAAGTGTTCCACTGTGTTCGCAAGAAGAAGAAGACAAGCAAAAGAGCATGAGTCAGGATAAGGAAATATATATATATATATATATATATTCTTTGATGCATCGTAGCAAGTTACACCCCTGAGGGGCTTCCTAGGATATTGAAAATACTGTTCACATGTGAGTGAATGTAGTTTTATTCCACAGTATTCAGCTAAATCAAAAGGTCATGTAAGATGTTGAAGTGTGTTCCTACCAAACATCTGATAGATTGATGGGCAAGACGTATAAAGGCACACTACAAGCCTTATCTTGGATAAGTACAGTCTCAAAGAGATACTATTTGGAAAAGGTTGCAACAGCATCATTCTCTGTCTCCCCTACCCTGTGCAGTATCCAGTGAGTGTGTAGATACTCCAGGCCAAGGAGTGTCTGAACAATGTAGGATTTGATGTGGGGTGATGTCAACACTATAGTCAAGTCTTTGATTATTATCTGAAATTAGGAACATAAAAAACATGATGGAAATAGGGAAAATGTCACTCAAATTGTACAAAGGGTAATGGAAATACACCTCACACTATAGAAATAACTAGAGCACAGTTTGATGATTAAATGAAACCAAGCAATCACCCGAGTAAGCTAGTTTTTGATAAAAAAACTCACATGACACATCAAGACATGAATTGTATCATGATCACTTTTGAAGCCTTGATTTACCATGTTTACAACTTCATTATGTTTGTTGATGTAAACATGAAAATCATAGTTGGATGTTCATTACTGCATAATACCCACAATACATTCATAACTGACAGAACTCCAAAAACTGATAACTAATATGATTGAAATACTTAATTATTATATCCAGAGTCCTCAACATTTATGTGTGTATGATAACCCCAGAATATAACATGCATAATAGATATTTTAAACCTAAATTCTACCTGAAAAATCCCTAAAAGACAGGTTTGAGTCCAGTGGACCAAAATGGTCTTGGCACAACTTCATAGTATATAGTGAGTGAGTGAGTTTAGTTTTACGCCGCACTCGACAATATTCCAGCTATATGGCAGCGGTGAGAAATACAACCTAAGAAGCTGGGGCAATATAAAGCACTCTCCCATTAGCCACAATCTACCTCCAGGACAGTCAAAAGCTTATTAATGTAAAAGTTCCCCACTGGCAAATGTAAGAGCAACAAATCAATCGAAAATCTGATATTTTAACTTGTTAAGAATATGTGTCTTTACCGTATTTACCATGCAGTTAGTGCCAAATACATATTTGTCTGGCGGGTTGAACCAGTCTTTAGGTGAACTTTCCTGGTAGAATTTAGTCTTAAATTATGGATATTTTAACTCATAGAGAACACGTTATAATCAGAGCTACAGATAACTTGTTGAGTCATTGAGTTATGTACTCGTTTGTGTTCTTCTCAATTGGGTATCCTAATTTTGCTTTTAGTAACCAAATAAATTGTACCGACCGCACTCAAACTCAATTGGGTATTTTGCCATTTTCCATTAATTGTAAAAATATAATCAAGTTTAAATGTTGGTTTACGTGTTTGTTATGTGTATTTGATCTGTAATATGACAAACGATCAGAAAGACTGCAAGTTGCCAAGTTCATGTGCTGAAATAGAACCTCTCAATATACCTCAGTTATTTTATCTTTTTTGTTTGTATGCATGTAAGATCAAATTTATTGAGTATTTACAAAAATTGAAGCATACTTGTACGCAATATACATAATAGGAATTGAGTTTTCACATATATATTTGCGTAATTTACGCAGAAACGCAGCTTATCTGTACCTCTGTATAATGGGTGCTGAAAAATGTGAGAGGGTTTTCCTGATATGACAACTGCTGGTAGGTAATACCCAGACGTTTATCACTGACCTCAAGATCGGTTTCCATGAAGTCGAACACCAGGCTAACATTGGACTTCTGACCAAAAACATCCAGGAGCTGAAACACAGAAGGTTAAATCATAGAAATATGTACCCCAATACATTTTGTTTTTCTTCACACTACAGATTTGGGTGAAACAAAATGAAATTACCATGATTATTAAGGTCAGAAGAAGCAACTATCGGCATCAGATTTAGATTTTTCTTATCTGAAATGTATTTTTACATCATTATTCCCCAATAAGCTTCATGGTGTGGAACAGTGCTGTAACCCATAACAATTGAACTCAATAATGACTGAACTGAGAATTGGTTGTCACAGTGTGTTTACAAATGCTAGCTGGAACACAAAGGCTTGCCTACCCCAATGATGTGTTTGTGACTGAGTTCCTGAAGGAGTTTGATCTCCCTGAGAGCTGTCCTATTGATGCCATCAGCTGCCTCTGCTCTTGTTCCCACCTTGATCTGAGGATAGTCACAACACATGTAACATGACTCGACATATATACCATGACTTAAATAGACTTGCACTGTGAAGTAGATCTAAGAACCTGTCTGAAAAATAACTTATAATATTGAAGCTATGACTGTCGTCAAATGTGCATTGTTCTGTTTGGAAGTGGTATACTAGACATGTGGGTTACAGAAAATGAGTACAGTTATCAAGCTCATCATGAAGCCATTGATAAGGTTCTCACATTGGTTAATATAGGAACTGGACAATCTGCACCCATGGAGATTTGTTGGCAGACCTGTACCCAAATGAAAATAAATCTGATTTGAACTTTATTCTAAAATTCATTAAACTTAATTACATAAATGACCCAGTAGTGATGTTTGTGACTGAGGACTTTGTAGTGACACTGTCAAATCAAGGAAATTCATTCTGATTCTAATCAAAATATCAGAAATGAGGTCACAGCAATTTTTTTAGAAACTGTGGTATGGGTCGATCAGAAAAGGTATGTATGCTCCAAAACACAGGTACAAATCTGATGAGAATTTCACGTGTGAGTTATCCATTTACACTGTCTCCATCCCCAAGGGTACAGATCATCAAGTACCTGTTACTACTATGTCTAACTTGATGCAAATAAGTTATATGAGAAGCACTTCAGAAAGTGGCATACAGGCCATGTCCCGACATGTTTATTTTCATATTCTTATGGGAAAACTGGCTACACATGACTTATCAACGAACTATTCATCAGGCATATACATCTCCTTTTTATAATGTCTTGAATTACCTTTTTTACTGCTACAATATCTCCGCTTTGCGTGTCCCTGGCCTTGTAAACTGTGGCAAACTGTAAATTGCAAAGGCAAATCAATTTACAGCCAAGGTACACACTAAAATGATTGAGGTCATTGTAGGGTTATAGTGAGATTTACATTCTAAATGATACATAACTCTGTCATAGTGTGTCAGTTTAGAACATTATGGGTTTACTCCATCCGTTTCAACGTCTAGGAGCTGTTCTGTTTATCATACAACGAATAAATGAATGCATGGGTGCTCAAACCGTCAGCATAGCTACTCGTCTCTAAGAGATTGCATCACATTCAAGACAGTTAATCTATATTCTAAGATAAGATATTAGCATTATATATTTATTCTCGATTCATTAACCTGTCCTTCGCCCAGAAAGTCGATTTTTTCATATCGTTTTATTCTGTCATCTGACATAGCAGTAGAATCGCGGTGCCAGGGAACCTGCCGCTTCGAGCGCCACCTGTTGGTAGGGAGAAATCATTGTCGAGCAATGTATATTTGTGCGAAGGGAGTGGCTTATTGTATATATCCGTGTAAATGACTCATGAATAAAGTAAAGTAAACATATTTTGTAGAAGTGCTATAAAGTGAGCCAGTCACTTAGTACATGGCGAGCGTTAATGTAATCTGGACTGATGAAAACGAAGGGAAGAGAGCAATCTTAGAGAAGCTGAGAAATCCATTCACGATTTGGCTTCAGATCTAGTTTCTAAAATACATTAGTTTTGATATACTAAAGTAGTTCATTTCAAAGCAATACGCTTATCTTAGAAGTGACCTATTTAGCTGGTCCATTTTCACAGGGAGGGGTGTCACTTTCATGTCAGAAGCAAACAATCAATGTGAGTTCTGCCAACTGGACTGGCTTCACTCGAGTTGTCACTGAATTCGTAAACCATAACTCGGGGAGATAGTTAGAACCAGTGGGTCTGTGATTCAGATACCAGATTCATATTGTGAAAACTTGCTGAGTCTTGTGCTTAGTGTTAGTGAATGACTCTGTGAAACAATTCGTTCCTATGCATTGTTAAAGTGATGAAGCTCTCATAGCGCTTTATAGTTATGTTATAACTAGATAAAATGTGGTATATACTCCCATGTTGATCGTAGCTGAAGAGGAAACAAACAGGAAATACATAGTCATTCGATAGTGTTGTGTTTGATACAAGTATCACAGATGTATTTGGGACCAAACGATATGAGTGTTTTGGTCCAGTAACGCTTTGATAATGTTTGTAAACTATTGATCACATCCACTTTTTCCTGTGCATACTGCCTTTCTCTTACCTAAAAGTTTAGTAACATCTTTGCAAACATAGTTCATTCAAACCGGCATCTCATATTGCAGGCCAGTTACATCTCAATGAAGTGAGTGAGTGAGTGTGGTTTTACGCCTCTTTGAGCAATATTCCAGCCATATCACGGCGGGGGACACCAGAAATGGGCTTCACACATTGTATCCATGTGGGGAATTGAACTCGGGTCTTCAGAGTGACGAGCGGACGCTTTAACCATTAGGCTACCCCACCGCCCCCTTAATGAAGTGACTAAAACATTAAATACGTGACTGCATATTATCGGGTAACAATGAAGACCCGGTTATAATTAATCACCAGCAATACAAGTTCCTAACAGGTGACTAAAGGAATCGGGTGGTCAGGCTTGCTGACATTAACTCATGAATGTCACCATATCCCAGTATACGTAGATCAATGCTTATGACATCAATCACTGGATTGTCTTGTCAGATTCGATTATTTGCATACTACCGTCATATAACTGGGATACTGAGGAGTGCAGCGTCTAACAACAAATGTTGCATATCACCAGGGTGTTGTTCTGCAGACTCGGGGATGATGACAAGGATACGACTGAGTAGATGCGGAAGTATTTTAGCAATGTATGGCAGGACTGGTTGCATGATGACTACCTCCAAGCTGATCTAGTGTCTGGTGGTAGTCTAAACATATTCCTCCCTGAACCCCACAAAGGGGACCTGACGGTTTTGTAAAACTGTTGGTTTCGTCGGACGGCCAGAGTCTGGTCAGAAGCAGGAAACCAATTTGCCCGTTCCCCCTATCCCACAGTCTGCCAGTAAATTATGTGTCAGCAGTGTTCAGACAGCGACCAAGCTGACGTTTACATCTACCCTGCTTCCCAATAACAACCAGCTGAATGCCGTCTGTTGCAAGGCGCCTTACGGCCGAGCTCGTAAGAGCAACGGCCTATCATAATTACATATTAAGCGACTTTTCATCAGTTTATTCAACGTGCCAATTGTTCTTAAAGAACCACTAAACTTTGTTTTTACATATGAAAGATTTGTGGTTAGTCTTATGCGGAACACCAAATTTATTCTTTAAAACTTGTGGTTAATTAATACCGAGCGATCAAAAGTGGCCAAAAGTCGCCTGCTTCCTCTCGCCCGCCAACGAAACCACAGACAGGTTACGTAACTCTGTCGCCAGAGCACTGCAGTGACGTCATATTAGGAACGATTTTCAGTTAGTTGTAGAGAAATGTGTAGCCGCGCTCATCATTTTGATGATTTCGACATCAACGACGACATGCCGAATCGTTGCTTTGTCGTCAATTGCTCCTAGGGTCGGGCGATGGTGTCCCCATGCACAGATTTCCACAGGACCCGCAGTTCGTGCTAAATGGGTTATGTTTGTGAGTGCGAAGCGAGCGTTGTGGAAGCCTGAAACGATATCTTACTTGTGTTCAGATCGCTTCACGGAAGTTAAAGAATCAAAACTACTTACTAGTTGTAGTAAAATATGCATACGATTGATGACCATAAAGATTTTCTATGACACAACTTGTAACATAACGATTTCTTCCTCGGAACTGAGGTTGTGGTCGAAGTAACAATAATATTGTAAGTAGTATTATATTGATTGACCCACCTCGCTGCCACGAGAGAAATTGTTATGATATACGCTATGTCATGCAAAATCCTATTGGCCATCAATAAAATACATATTTTACTACCAGTAGAAAGTAGTTTTGATTTTGTAACTCGGTGAAAACAAACCTAAATACCATTTATCCTCAGACTGGCGGATGTTCCCGATAGGGCGCCGCCATTTTTAAAAATAAAAAATCTGTTAGAATTAATGAGATTATAGTTTGTTTTCATCAAGTTAGAAAATCAAGACTACTTTCTACTCATTGTTAAATATGTATTGGAATCATAACCAAACGGATTTTGCATGACACAACTTATAACATAACGATTTCTTCCACGGAAGCGAGGTGGGGGTCGAAGTCACAATACTGCGCGATAAATTTCTTGCTACATTCCCATGGTTAATGTCCACTCACCAGTATGTAGATACTAGTCAATGTGCGTCTTTATATTTGGTCTTATAATCCTAATTAGTTTATTATCACACTTGTATGCATTTTGAAACTAAATAAAAAGGAGACGATCTGCTGATACTTATAGTGAATTTATAACAGAACTGTAATATCTAGACATTTTATAGTTTGCCAATGTGAATCATAATTCGCACACACACCCTAGTGCATGTTGTCTGTCTCATTACACTTCACGGCGAAATCAATGATTCTGTTGAATGCTACGACAAATGAATAAAAACAAAATGCAAATATTAAAATTAAAACAGATTAAAGTTATAGGAACAATATCAGGCCATTACCTTGTTCGAGGAATGTATCCATCAATATCCACAAAACTGTTCCAAATGATGTGTCTTTTAACAGTTTAATATACGAAAAGTGATAAATCTTTTCAGGTATTGGTGTATAGTCTCATTGGTCACCCAAGATAGCACACCTGGCAACTAATTGCATAATGTCCGCCTTTCTTTAAAAACAGTAATTTAGTTAGCCAATAATGGGCAATCAATCAATGTATTGCCGGTTAATCCTTTGAAGAAGGACGTTGTTTTTACGCAGACACCGACACGACAGAGTGTATTCAGTATAGATTAGTAAATCTACATACATAAACACTACCTTTTGACAATTCCGCTGTGTAAGATAAAAGTAATTAATCAATCAGCGTGTTATCGGTTAATCCTTTGATCGATGTTTATAATGTTGAATATTTACTCCAGACACAAGAAATGCCAAATGGGAACCTTTGTCGGGTAATCTAAGTGTGTTACCACTAATTATACCTGTTATAAATTCATTAACTGACCATCAAGTGAATGATGACAAATAACATGTGTAGGTTTATACCACCTAACACGGGTTACAACGAGGGAGTATTAATTGCTGTATTGCATGTGAAAACTTATGGGCCGACACTGTTTTGAGAATACAAACAGATTTTTACATGACATGATTAAATATCGAGGTAAAACAACACAGAAATGGGATCAATTTGGATCAGTCATTATACAAATAGGGCCTAACGACACCAATCGATTTTGACAGAATCGTCTATGAAAACAAGTTGTAACTCGGAAACTAGGCAAAGCAGGAGACAAAATTAAATGACAGTAGATTGTGAGAACATATAGCTTTCATTTTCCACAACAATTGTCACGATTTCAGGTTTATACAAGCCTGTAAACACGATAATTTACCCCCCTAAAATGTAGATGAATTCTGCATCGGCTCTCAAAGCTATTCCTCATATGACGTCACAGAGGCGCGCCGCTCTGATTGGTTGAAATTTCGTTCGCGGGTGAGAATTGTGCACTGTTGTCAAAAAGGTCGATTTAAGTCAATTAAAGGTCGAAATGAGTAGTTTTAATGACGGGGTTTCATTTATAACGATGCCAGTTAGTGATTTATGTATTTGTACCCCCCTAGGGTTTATGTGACCTTTAACTGTTTGTTGAGTACATCTGATCTATGGGATTTGCGTACTGGATAGTTTTCACAGCTAACAAATGCATAACGTTATGATTTCGCGTTTGATTTGGTCACCAGTACTGGGATGGGATGGATCGTAAGGCAGACTCGTGGACTTTGTGGATCGCGTGTCAACATAACCGACGGCTGGTTAGGATGGCAGGGACATGACTGTTATTAGGCTGCCATCTTATAGCTGGAATATTGCGTATAACAGCAACAGGAGTCAATCAATTGGTTAATGGATCACTATTTTACGTCGAATGTTTGGCCATGTAGTTACGGGACTGACACTGGAAGTAATTAAAAGCATAACTTACGGCTGAAGCCGCGTTACATACACCTTGTTTGCTGATACACGTCATTTGGGAACAAACATGGCTGATGTATTTTCAAACATAATGTGCGTAAATTATTTCCAACGCCTTAAGATCAGCATACCTAAGTTCCAACTTCAGATCAATCATAAAATAACATCATACGAGTGATGCATAACTGGGTCTTAAAAGCAACTTTAACTGAAGTGGAGGGATTTGTTGCTTCTCAGATGGCTTTCAGGATGTGCTATGGCTACTCACTGTGGGTCTGCATGGGAGGCAGGTGCTAAAAGCACTGCCTAGTTGTGCCTGTTCCAATAAGTAATGTGTTCTAAAATGTTACATTCCTA